GTTTTTCTGGAGAACCCTTAATAATAACCCTTAATAATATTAACTTCTTTAGAGCAATCTAGGCTCAACAGTGTACACAGCAAGAAAGATAATCATAATGGGCATTGAGCTAGTCTGGCCCCAACCACTGCTGTAACCATGAAGCAGGCTAGGTCCAAACTAGTAGACCCCTTGACTTTCAAGCCAGTGCTTTACCTTAGAAGTTGAAAGGTCCCTAGCACTTGTGTTCCCCAAATATCTTGTCAGCTGTCTGATATACCTCATGTTTTGGAGTCCAACCTTCAGAAACAAATCCAACACTGAGTCTGGACTCTGACCTCTGATTGGGGGAGGTCATAGGAATGATCAAGGGGCCAAGTAGAGAATTTCACCAGATTTACTGTCCAACTAAGCACATCAGAGAAAAAGCAATAAACCATGCAACATAGAAGGAATGTGGTTGAGAGCTAACTTAGTGAATTGATCAAAGCTCCAAATGGAAAGTAAGAGATGGCAGGAAGACAGAATCTTCAAATACTGTATTCCTGTCTCTGTGATCCTCAAGCCCAGTGAATCGTGTTTCTGTTGGGCCTGGGCAGATTAGTCCTCAAAATACTAGGTCTAGATACCTCAGGGTCATTAGGCATTAAATCTCCACTCCTCTTTTTGGGTATTCTATTCCCATGATTTTGCCTCATTCTCACCATCAAAAGTGTCAGTGCGATTTTATATCATTTGGGCAAATCCTCCCTGTTTCCAATCAGGACTTGCAATCCTTAGCCATTTATTTTAAGGATGAAAGCATTTTTTCCATCTACACCCCTGTTCATTTCTGAGGTTAAAAAGGCATCTGTAAATTTTGTCTGATAATTTTTCCATTCATTCTCCTCCTCTCCTTCAATATGCCAATCAAGCTGTCAGCTTGCTTTCTCTGCAGATTCATAACACTTCACCTTCAGTCTCATTAACTGATTTGCCTTTTGTTTCACATGAAGAAGTCATCTCAACACTTAAAACCCTGGGAGTTACAATTCAGAACTTCTTCAACTGTCTTTTGGATTTTTATCTCCCACTGCTTATTCTTTATTTTCTGACTTTCAGGTAGAAAAATTTCCTTTTTCTTTCAACTACCTCTCATTGACCCCATCTTCAAATATGGAGTAAGACCTACACTCATATTTTAGTTTTGATGTGTCACCTTTTATAAATGTGAAAATAGAGTCAGACTTTATTCATTTGGCCTCTATTTGAATTTCATGAAAATTGGGATAAAATCTGGACTTCAATTTGCTTAGATATATCCTTTCTCAACTGTGAAACAAATATCACCCTAATGATATTTTTTACAAAAATAATCGAGGATATAATCAGTATCGTAGAGTTAGAGTAAGTTGAGACCAGATTGTCTTTTTGTAGGACTGGCCTTAAAAGTATGCAGATTGAGAGCAAACAATTCTATGAGCATTTATGAATGCATGGGACATTCACTAGGGTTTTTTTGGTGAGCACAGCTTAAGTTAATGCAGCCACCTGATCCAGAACAAAATCTGTTTCTAAAACTTAAAAATTTAGGTTGTGGTTTTAGAGTTAAACTGGTTGGTTTAGAATTCTGTCTCCAACATGAACTTACTCTGTGATCTTGGGCGAGTTACTTAACATCTCTGGGCCTCAATGTCTTAACTGTAAAACATGAGGAAATACAATAACTCCTAAGGTTGTCTTAAAGATTAATTGAAATAAAGCTTGTCAAATACTTAACATATTGTCAGGAAGATGACTCTCCATCATAGGCAGATGATTGAGTTTATGTTCTCCCAGAAGCAGATCCTGGGATAAGGATTTGAGTGCAAGTAGTTTATCTGGGAGGCAATCCCAGGAAAAGCTGGCAAAGGAGTGTAAAAGTAAGACAGAAAAGGGAAGGCACCCAATACAGGGTACAACATTGGGTAGGTTCTCACTGTGAGCAACTGGGACTCAATCACACTGGGAACCTCTGGAAGATTATTGGACACACATCTCAGAGTGATGCTTATGTCCCCTGCCAAAGGGCTAGGGAGCAGGAACATTCAAAGGTGAATTCTGCTAACTATGCCAGGAGCACTGCTTGGAGCAAGGAGTACAATGGCTCTGTCTTGGTAAACTTTAGTGGGACTAGGGTAGAGCAGGTTCAAGTTCTATCTGTATGCATGCGACGAAAAAGTCCTACAAGTGAGGTTGTGGTCAATCAAGGGTTGCCGTGCTGGACTCAGAGTCAAGGTAGTAGGACACTTGAGTGGGGAACCAGAGCTGCTTAGAAGGACCCAGTTTATAGTCAACAAGATATGTCAGCTCTGTGGGGCAAGGCAAGACAAGAGTAGGGGAAATGGGGAGGACAGGGTGAGGAGTGAGCCAAGGTAGGTAGATCAGGGAAGGTCTTGCACAGAAGAGTGCTGGGTAGTAACGTAAATGAGATCTAGGGAGGCCAAGTTGACTTATAGCTTTGTGATCTGTAAAAATAATGCCAGTTGTAAAATTTATAGGAATTTTCTTTTAGACTAGAAAAGGAATAGGGAAAATAATCACTTCTAGATAAATGTGATAAATCTTCCAGATATGGGGGGACATGTTAGGTCTTTGGGAAACCCAACCTACATTTCATTCAAGGTTCAGCTTAAGTGTTACTCCCTCAAGAATGTCTTCCTCGGGCCTCCCCTGGTGGCTCAGGCGGTTGTGCGCCACTCTGTGAAGCTGTCCACAGCCTCTGCAGCATGGGTTCAATCCCGGCCAGCTGGCAAGTGTCCCACATGGCACAGCAGACCTCTCCTGTCTCTCCTGCTGCTCCCCTCAGCAGTGTATTTCGTCAGTCTGCCTGTTCTGTTCCCCGCTCTGTCTCTGGTGAATCCTCTCACCCTCCCACGCATCTGGCCTGTACCCCGGTTCTTGTATAAAATAAATAAATAAATCTTAAAAAAAAAAGAATGTCTTCCTCAAATACTGTCCTCCTCCTCACACATTGTCAAGCCATCTCTTTTGTGACACTTAATATCTTGATTATAATTAAATGATCAGCTGTGTCATTAGCCATTGCCTGACCACCTTCAGAAGAGTCTTGTCACTTTCACCATCCTGGCACAGTGCAGGACAGGCAATCTGTAATTATTAATTGAATGACAGAATAAATTTGGCTGTGTGAGGTTTATAGGATATCATGTAAACAGTAACCAAGAAAACCCCAAAATAGCCCCTCCTGGGTGATTTTTCCACTGTTTCTTTCATCCATGTCTTTTTTTTTTAAAGATTTATTTATTTGTGCATACAAGAACTGGGGTACAGGCCAGAGATGAGGGGGGTGAGAGGATTCACCAGAGACAGAATGGGGAGCAAAACAGATGGAATTACTGAAATACACTGCTGAGGAGAACAGCGGGGTCGAGAGGTCTTCTGTGCCATGTGGGAATCTCCCTGGCCTGGGATCGAACTCGTGCTGCAACAGATACAGATTATTTTATAGGCTGTGTTTTAGCCCCTTGCGCCACCAGGGAGGCCCTGTCATCCATGTCTTTTGGCAAGTATCTCTACTCATAAAAGTCTCAGATCCTTCTCTTGCTGGGCAATGTGTAGTTCCTTTCTCAGCAACATCCCAAGCGGGCAGCTGCTCAGGAAGTCATCTTGGTGGCTGAACATAATGCTATGAAGTTCTTTCAAATTTTCATATACCTCAAACCCCACAACTGTGTGATTGATCATCCTCCTAGGGATGTTCAAGAGAAGATTAAAATGTGAGACAGTGCCCAAGGACTACCTGTCTTGTCCGAGGTTGTCTGTAGGCCACAGTAGTTACACGTGCCGTACACGTCCCTCATGATCCTTTCAGTGCAGGCTTTGAGGCGAGCCGTTGCTTCTCCCTTCCAAGTGGCCAATCTCAGGTACCTAAGGGCTTTCATCATAACTCCAAACCATTTCCCTCCCCTGCGGGGTGGAGGGACACTCGTGTAAGAGTTCTAGGAAGGGCCTCCCCGGTGACGCAGCGGTTGAGCGCTGTGTTGCAAAGCTGCCCGCAGCCTCTGCAGCGCCAGTTCGATCCCCGGCTGCCGGCGAGGGTCCCACATGGTGTGCAGACCTCTCCTGCTGCGCCCGCTGCTCCCCTCAGCAGTTTAGTTCGTCAGTCTGCCTGCTCTGCTCTCCGCTCTGGCTCTGGTGAATTCTTTCACCCTCCCCCGCTTCTGACTGTACCCCAGTGCTTGTATAAATTAAAAAAAAAAGAGCTCTAGGGACATTTTGGGTCATCCTACGATTGCCAACCTGCTTGTGCAGATCAATCTCTCATACAAATCCCAGGGAAACGTTCATCTACTAGGAGTTGTGAGAGAGGTTATGAGCCTTCGTGGTTTTTTGCAGTTTGGCTTTGTATGGTTTTGTGTTTTGTTTTTGTAACAGGGTGGTCCCCAGGAAAAAGGGAGGTTCCAGGTTCCCTGCTCCACCCAAGGGAGAGTGGAACTGAGCAGGGAGGAGAACTATAGAGGAGACTGGAGTAGGAAGGAAGCAGGATGGAGAGCAGGAAGGAGAACTGGAGGAGGAGGCATGAGGCACAGAGAGACACGTGAAGAAGCTGCACTTGTCTTTTCGTCCTGGACTGGTGGAAACAGATAAGTGTGAGAGACCGTGAGGAAGTTAACAATGGCAGCTTTTATCTTAGTTTTGATTTTGCTCTTTTCCTCCCAGACTTGTCTGGCTGTTTCTGACTCTAATCTATGGGTCCCCACAGGAAGGTGCTTTAGACTTGAGGCAGACTTTCGGGCCTTGCTTTGGGCCAGCCATGTTTGGCTGGACTTTTACCCACGAGGGGATGGGGAACTTTGGGTGCGAGATTTGGAAACTATATGCTTTGTCTTGTCTGTATTGCACACTAATTATATTAAAGTTCCTTTCCATTAAAGGTTTTATATGTTTTGTCTTGATGAGGCAGATGGCAGAACCTATTTAGAGCAGGCAGGCTAGGGGGTTCTGGGGTGCCCCTCTCCCTGCCCTGTAACATTTTCATTTCAAATATGAAACACTTCACAAATGAGCATGTCATCCTTGCACAGAGGCCATGCTAATCTTCTCTGTGTATTCCAATTTTAGTATGTGTGCTGCTGAGGTGAGCACCTTGCAGGGTTTTCAGACACAGAATTTTCAGATCCCACGTTAATAACAGCAGCAACATGGTTCAAATTTCTATTACCATAGTATTGATGTACTCATTGACGGTAATTGAAAAAGTACAAACTTCACTTCTAGCTCTTTGGTCCACAAATAATAGCTGTGTTATAGGACAGGCTGAGGGACACCCCAGGGAGCCCCAAACCTGCCTTCTCTAACTGGGTTCTGTCATCTGCTGCATAAAGACAAAACACACTCTTAGAGTGCAAGACCTTTAATAGAAAAGAACTTTAATAAAATTAGTGTGGAATAAAGAAGAGAAATAATATATTTAAAATAGTTTCCAATTAGACACCCATAGTTACCCATCCCCTTGTGGCCCAATGTGGGGTCGCTGAGACCTAGAAGTTTGCCACAAGTCTAAGGCACCTTCTGGTGGGGACCCACCAAAAGGGGGAGAAAGGGCCAGGCAAGTCTGGAAGGAAAAGAGCAAAATCAAAATCAAGATAAAGGCTACTATTGTCTGCCTCCCCACCCATCTCTCACCATGTCTCTGTCTCTTCTAAGTGTCTCCTTCCATATCTCATGTCCCTGGTACAAGTCCAAGGCCAAGAAGCAAGTGTGTCTTCTTTTTCACATGCTTCTCTGTTCCATGTGTCTCCTTCAGGGTTTCTTCCTTCCTTCTCCCTAAGTTCTTTTCTAAGTCTTTTCTAGCTTCTCCCTGTTCGGCTACACCCTCCTTTGGGTGGGTCAGGGAACCTGGAACTTCCCCTTTCTGGGATATCACACTGTATAGCTGTGCCTCAGTAAGCAACCAGTCACACCATTTCTTTCAAAGCCTGTTCACAGTTGGTCACTGTCCATCTGTTATTCAGCTCACACCAGGGACAGCAAAGTATGTACTCATATTACCTCCTTGTGACCCAGTGATAAAGTCATGTGCCATTTTACAAAAATGGATAATCGAAAGAGGAAATTGGCCAACAAAGATGAAGGTGCAGGAAAGAAATGAAAAGTGGTAATACTAGAAGTAAAATTTAAATTGAGTATAAATGGAGTTAGAAGAAATAGCGCACTGTAAAAATGCTCACCATGTGTCCATTCTCAAGAGAATCTAAATATGCAATCAGAAGAATTTAGTGGAAAACTGATCAAACTTAGAAATTGACTATTTTTTATTTTCTTACACTTCTTCATAATGGAAGGTTTAATGGTTTTGATAACAAGTTTTAAAGGTCACTGGATAATGTCAACATTTCCCATTGCTTAGAATTGATTTGCCCCATTAACAAAACCAGGACTGCCTGTAAGTTGTTGCAGTGGCTTTGACTTTAGCTTTCAATGTGTATACTAATATTCCCAGTTATAAATATGTCTCTAGACAGTATTCTCCTAAGTCAACACTTTCAAGAACTGGGAAAGGTCTGAGATTTTATTCTACTTGTAAGTTACCAAGTGAGCTTAGCACAGTTTCATGGATGCTGACCAAAGACATGAGCCGAGGGACAGTTTCTTCCTCGTAGCCATCACAGTTGCAAGAATATCAGGATTTGCACAAGTTCCCTAGGTCTCAAACCTCACAGGCAACACAGAGGACCAGTTGACACCTGCACATGGATGGGTTACGTTATAAGGGAGGGAATCTGACTTTAGCGAGCTTGAATCTTTTATAAGGGTCAAGAAGTGAAATTGACCTTTGCTCTAGGAGTTCTTACTGTTCTAACTAATGGGATAGTAAATAAACTTGTCCTTTGTTCCCAAGAGAGACAATATCTCTGTCTTAGTCTCAGACTGTTTGCTATACAAACATATTTGAAAAGTTAGTGTGGAACAAAGGCAGTCAATGTCTCTACTTATAAGATGTTCAGAAACACAAAAGACCCATGGAAAATTGTCTCCCAATGTGCACCAGCGTCATTTGTCCTGTCAACCTTGTCTTCACTTTATAACAAGTTCTCACTCATTCAAACAGGGAATATTATGTGATGGAGACTTTGAGTTAAAAAAAAAAATGGGGATGGAGGGGCCTCCCTGGTGGCGCAAGGGGTTAAGACACAACCTATGAAGCTATCCGCAGCCACTGCAGCAGGAGTTCAATCCCCAGCCAGGGAGCTACCCACACAGCACAGCAAACCTCTCCTGACTCGCCTGCTGCTCCCCTCAGCAGTTATTTCAGTCACTCTGCCTGTTCTGTTCCCCGCTCTGCCTCTAGTGAATCCTCTCACCCCCCTACACCTCTGGCCTGTACTTGGGTTCTTGTATACATAAATAAACAAATCTTTTTAAAAAATGGGGATGGAGGCATCACAAGCCCAGAAATTGGACATGGGGGTAAAAATAATGAATATAGCTGTTAAACCAGCTATAGAAATGAAAATCCTTAGGCGCCAACTGCCTAATTGCTCTAGAAAGTATCCACTGCTATAGAAAGTATCCGAGGTGCAGACCAGGAGTGAGAATATGGAGATTAAGGGCCTTTATAGAGAATCACCCTAGTGCTTACAAATCACCCTAGTCACACCCTAGAAGTAATTCATCTAACAATAGCTAACAATTCCACAAAGGAACGAACCCCTCCCCCAAAGAAGAACACTAGAGCAGTGCAAATTCTGTGCTACCAAAACGCAGCTCTCCTGCCTGCCTGTGTTTGTGTGTCTTTTTCTCCCTTCCTTTCTTCTAATATACCTAACCTTTTAAATATGTAACTGTTGAAGTATGGAAGGTGGGGTTCAGTGTGTGAGGTTCTTGGGTCCTTTTGAAAGAATTCAGCAGAACTTCCCATTCATCAGCGTGTTAGTGGGCAGGATGAGGGTGATTCCCAGACTGGCCTGCTCTAAATGGGTTCTGTCATCTGCCACGTAAAGACAAACACTCTTGTAATGGGCTAAAGCCGTCAATAGAAAAGACCTTTAGCACAATTAGTTTGCAATAGGAAGAGAAAGAATATAATGAGAATAATTTCCAATTAAACATCCAATTTACCTGTCCCCTTGTGGGTAAATGTCCAGCCAAACAGGGTTGGCCCAAAGCGGGGTCACTGAGACCCAAAAGTTTGCCCTCCAGTCTAACGTACCTTCTGGTAGGGAACCACAGGAAAGAGTCAGAAGGGGCCAGGAAAGTCTGGAAGGGAAACAAGTCAAGATGAAGGCTGTCATTGTCAGCCTCCCCATGTGTCTCTCACCCATGTCTCTGTCCCTTCTAAGTGTCTCCTTCCATGTCCGCCACGTCCCTGCTACAAGTCCAAGGCTGAGAAGCAAGCATGGCTTCTTCACATGTCTCTCTTCTCCATGTGTCTCCTGCTAGTCTTCTTCCTCCATCCCTCTCCACTTCTTTTTTCTCCTCTTTTCTCAGCTCCACCCTTCCTTGGGTGGGGCAGGGAACATGGAACCTCCCCTTTCTATGGATCATGATGTTTCAAGCACACAGCAAGTTTATTAAGGAATGGGGGGTGGGGAATAGGATGTCTGCATAGACACAGGTGGGCAGTGAACTGCACTTTTGAAAGGGGTAGGCTCCAGAAAGAGATGCCTGCATAGACACAGGCAGGCCATGAGCTGTGTTTTGCCAGAGCAAGGGATGTTCTTTTATAGGTTTTTTTTTTTTTGATGGAATTATTGTGGAAATTATCTCCTTCAGGTCTTCTGTGATTGATAATCCTCTCTGCCCCCACCTCTGGCTGATAATCTTTTTTGATCCCACCTCAGATTCCTGGAAAGTTTCACAGCAGATTTAGTTTAAGATTCATTAATCGTCCTTATCTCCACCTCTGGTGAGGCCTTCCAGCCTATTTTCTACTCTCAGCTTCCATCATAACCTTCGCCTGCCTGTGTCTGTGCAAAAGTCTTCATCTCCTGGGTTAACTCGCCACGTGCCTCTGAAAGGGGAGCTCTGCCAAAATTTTTCTCAGAGGTAACCCAAGGACCCCATTCATTGAACCCAACACCTCATCACAACATCATTCTGTATGAGATATCCTGAATATCCATTCATTCATTCAGCAAATATTTATTACACACTTACAATGATAAGAGATGTGCTGGAAATATAAATTTGTAAAAGAACCACTCCTTCCCTTAAGGCACTGTGAGCCTGGCACAGAACTTGGCAATCACAGTGGGGTGTAGCAAATACTGCCTGTGGGCAGAGGAGGGATCCAGGCTGGGGGTGTGTGGGAGTGAGAGGACTGGCTGCAAGGGAGAGGGCTCACGTCAGCAGGACCCTGACAGAGGAGTGACAAGGAATGAAAAGAGGGTAAGATCAGTCCAAGGATGTCAGCTGGAGAACGATGGGAAGTGAGAGAAATGATTGAAGCAGAAAAGGGGGTGAAGCCGTGAATTTAGTGACCCATGATCACAACGGTGGACATAGTCAGGGGCACTGTGGGAACTCTCTCAGGCAGAGAGACTCTTTAAGAGGCTTTTGCCAGAGTCTAGATATGAGATGGTGCTAGCTGGAAATAATGCCGTGGAGGTGGAGGGAAGAGGACACAGACGAGTGATATTTAAGAAGTGGAATTGATCAGACTGGATGATGATCTAAATGAGGCAATGAGGGGACAGGGCAAAAGCTGAGATTATGCCTACTTTTTTGGCTTGGGCACCTGAGTGATTGATAGTGACAAACAGAGATAGAGAAAAGAGAAACGAGTCCTGAGTGAATACAAAGAGTTCAAATTTGGATACTGTGAGTTCAAGACACCCATAATCCAAGTGGAGATAACCAGTAGGTAGGTAGAAATATATACCATATAAATCTAAAGTATGATTTTTTAGTTGCTAGTATTATATTAGTATTCTTTATTGTTCAGAAATTATTTCAACATATTAAATTGCATGCAAATCAATAATTACCAGGCAAGTATTACATAATAGGAAGCATATAATGTCCTGTAAATAATAAAGAAAAACAGTTAAGAATGCTGTGTGGGCATACATTAAGCAGGCAATTCACAAGCTTAAATACAAACCCAGAGTACTTAATAACGTGGTCTCTTCATGCTCACATAC